CCAACAGGGAACAGTTGTTTTTGAGAGTTACCGGTATTTTATACAGTTTAATACGAATGAAGTTAATGGACCATTGAGTTTTGTTTACACGTTGATAGGGAACACACAGATCATTTCTATGCATGATTTAGTATTTTCATTTTTTCAAATAATGACTTACAGTGATCCTTATTTTTGTGCACAACACAAAGTTCGAACAATCTTTTTTTGAGTTTTAAAGATTCCATCTGCCCCTGAAAAGTCTCCCCACAACAATATACTATATGATATCACGTTAATGAAGTTATTAAAATAAAACGTTAAAGCCGTCTCAAAAGTTATATGTTTATAAGTTTTGGTGAGCCTGAAAAAGACAACCTCTGATTGATCTTATCTTATCTTATAAGAAAAAGAATTGGACTGAGTATTGAGCCTTGTGGCGCTCCAAGCGAAACAAACAAAACAAACGTAACGATTTGTTGTCTGTTGTTAAGGTAAGTTCAAACTTTGACCCCTTATACCGTAAAATTCAAGTTTGTAGGCAAGAAACTAATGGATTGCGCAATCTGCTGTCTGGTGTTAAAAGAATGAATATCTTTATTTTGAGTAAATTTGTTTTATTTTTGAATACATATACTGAGCCCAAATATATGGATAAACATATAAAGAAATACTATTTTTCTGTTTGATACTTTTCTGCTTATTTTTCTCCATTTTTTTTTCTGTCGCCTGTATTCTACTGCCAACTTACGACTCCTGCTTTTCCCAACCATCTTAATCTGGGTCTTCCCTTTCTTCTTTTATCTTTTATCCTCCTTAGTATATCCCTGCCGGTACCTCGTTGTGGTTTTTATCCTGTAATTATTTTCACCTAAATTTGCAAGCCCTAGTATAGCTCTCAGGATTTTTGAAAAAAACTGAAAAATGAGACCCCTTATTATTGAAAATTGGCTATAACTGAGGGACTATGATTCAGATCTCACTTTCTTTTATATTGCGATATAGCCCGCATAGACAGCAAAAACTTTTGTATTTAAGATTTTCATCTGTTGTACAGGGCGTTCCCGATATTCCGTGCTAAATGAGAAATGTGTTAAGTGTCTTAAATTTGCAGATATAAACTTCAAATTAAGCAGAGAAGTAAAAGCCCATGTCCACATTTAAACGATAGAAATTGAACCCAATCAAATTGTACCAAGTATTTTTTAAAAATGTTTGAATTTTTTTTTTTTTTTGCTAATTTTTCCTTCCAGAAAAATATGTTTTCCTCCTTAATCGTTCATCCGATTGGCAAAATTCTGTAACCGGCAGACGCAGAAGATCCAGTGCAATAACATTTATTTCGGGCATTTTTTCGATTATATATAGAGATTTCAAATTATAGGCAAAAATCTAAAAGACCTAGAAAATTGTTCTTTTACAGAGTAAATTAATAGCCGCAAATGAAAAATCGTAAAAATATGGCTAATTGGTTCAAACGGTGTCATAGGCCGCATCAAGAGCTACAATTTTTGTATTTGCGGTTTTCGTATATCACATACGCTGCGCGGGATATTTGAGAAAATCGATATTGAAATCGTTATTTCGGGGGCTGTCAAGACGCGATGACGTCATTGATTATTACGGCGCACTGCATAGTTTCAGAAAAAATTTGTTTTCTCGAAAACCCTATACTATTTTCAAAAAATTCTTGAACCAGGAAACGTGGAAAATCGAGGGCTATAACCTCTACTTCGAACAATGATTGAATCATATACAGGGTGTGTCGTTTATGGGCAAATCTAAAATATCCTATAAATTCCCGTTTTTGTTTTTTACCACACGAAAACGCGAAGCTCTTTCCTTTTATAATAAAAAGCTGCTTCTTGTCCTTCGAGAAATATGTAACAAAAATTTTACAAAGATAGTTAAAAGAACGAGCATTCCGGACCGATACGAGCGTCATGTTGAATGTAAAATCCACAGGTGTATATCAGTTTATTTTTTTCAGATAATTGACGCTGTCTAAATAATACACCACACGTCCTGCGTTTTCCTACCTTTTACGTGTCGACAATGGCCACAATAGCCCACCCCTTCCCCTGAAAACCACCCCCAATCGGTCTGACACAAAAGCCCCGGTCTATCCGCCCCGATCTCGTCCATTCAAAAATCAAATCTATATCATGCGAACCGATCGGAAATGAGTCCTGACGTTTATGTACACAACATGCTTCTGCAATATCACGTTCGTACGTTTGTACGTACGTGTGACACTGGATTAAAGGAAATTCGGTGCCCAAGGACGCACAGAACGTATAGACTAAAGTGCAAACCGAAAATCGCATTTTATCTCAAAGAAATGAGAAAGAGTTTTTTATCCGCTAGCTTTTCTAACAACCCAAACGGAATTAAAAACCATTTAGAATCCTGATAAAGACTTAATTTCATAAATTTCATAAATTGAATTGAGGTGGCTTTTACTTAATGAAAATCTATTTAACAAAATAAATAAGAACTAAAAGTTCAGGTTTTCATAAAATTATATATTTTCACATGACAATTGTTTCGACAACACCATGTCCTTATCAAATGTAATATTTACAAACTAACTGCTACTATATATACCGAAAAATGACATTAAAACCTTAATTAATGTTGTGAGAATTTAAGTTTAATAATGGAGAGGTATTTAAATCTAGTTGATCGTTAAGCAATACATTTGAATGTTTAATTTTGTTAATCTCCATGGCTTCCAATAGATTTAATTTTCTACTTTTTGTGTTTGTGTTTTACTGTGTTTAAGTGTGCAGTATAATTAGAATCTAGACTATTCGTTTTAAACGCTCTTTTATGTTCGTTAATGCGTTTCTTGAAGGATCTACCTGTTTGCCCAATATAGATTTTAGGACAAGATCCGCATTTCAACCTGTAGACACCTGATTTTTGAGATTTTAGGCACTTCGTTTTATTGTTTTTAAAAAATTTTCCCATTGTGTTGTTAGTTCTGAAAGCTATTTTTAAACCACATTTTGACAAATGTTTTGAAACTTTTTCACCCGGTTCTCCTATGTTTGTAATTGTCTTAAATTGTGCGTGTTCTGTATTAGGTTTCGGATAAATAGAGTTTACTATTGTCTGGATTTGTTTTCATTTCTAATTTTATCGATAATAGCCGTTGTTCAGTGTAATTTGTTTAATGATATTAAGTTCTTTGTTGTAATTTTCTGTTGAGAGTGGCGTATTAAGCTGTCTGTGTATAAAAGAGTGAAATGCAGTCATTTTGTGTGTCTATGTGCGTAGGTTTTCTGCAAACACAATGACCCAATGCTAGGTCTGATTTTCTACTGATATGAATATCTAAGAATGGAAGGTTATTATTAGTTTCCAACTCAATGGTAAAACATATGTTAGGGTGTATAGAGTTTAAATGTCTGAGAAAATCTACTAGGGTTTCTTGACCATGAGATCAAATAACAAAAGTATCATCGACGTAGCGTTTCCATAATTTTGGTTTTAGATGAAAGGTGTCGAGAGTTTTCTTCTCAAAGGCTTCCATAAATATATTCGCGATGACTGGTGATAGTGTAGAACCCATAGCTGTTCCCGACGTTTGTTCAAAAATTTGACCGTTATAAGAAAAATATGTTCCAGACAAGCATTTTCAATTAAGATGAGAAGATTCTCGAACTTTAATAAATCTGAAATGATGTTGGTGAAGAGGGACTCTACGTCTAACCACAATATCTTTTGTACTTAATGTAATGCTTTTTAATTGTTCAATGAAGTGAAAGAAATTAAGTACGAAACTGTCAGTTTTCCCTGTACGGGGTTTTAATAAGGAAGATAGATATTTTGCTAGAGAATATGTTGGAGAACCAATGGTGCTGACAATAGGTCGAAGAAATAATCCTGGTTTGTGGATCTTTGGGAGTTCGTAGAGACTAGGACTTTTTGAGTCATGGGAGGTAATAGATTTTTTCACGGAGTCTGATAGAAAAGAAGCCTTAATAAGGTTGCGACCCATAGATGACGAAGGATCTTTTTTAAGTTGACGATTTGATCCGTCTGTAAGAATATCTTAAATCTTTTCCTGATATTAATTTGTGTCCATGACCACCGTAGCATTTCCTTTTTCTGCTTTTAGGATTACGATGACTGGATTGGGTTTTAGAGATTTTAGAACAATGCGTTCAGGCTTTGCAATATTGGATGTCGGTGGAATCGATTTGAAAGTGATATATCAAAGTGAAATAAACATTAAAACTGGAGATGACTACTTCAAAACCCACAGCGAGTTTTACGTTAACAAAACATCACATCATGTTGATTATTTTATGGATTTCTCATATTCAATTCCAGCTTTCTAAAGAAATAATGTGGTGTAACTTCAGTTCTTTTTCAGGCACATATAAATACTATAGCAAGTAGAGCACCTCAAACGTATGGATTTATTACAAGAAATTGTAAGGATTTTAATTAAATATCAGAAGTATACTGGAGTTTTGTTCTTTTATATGAAGTCCGAAGGTTCGAAATAAGTTTCCAAGTTGTTTATATTACCATATCCACAAATCATGTTATGGAATCGTAAAATCTTCATTCTTTACAAAACAGAAGAAACACGTGTGCATTTTTATATATACAAATTGTTAGATAAAATGATTAAAGATTAAGAATTTTTGTTACTATTATTAAAATTCCTGAACTTTTATGAATATTAGCAAAAGACATCAAGGTGTCTGGTATTTTAGAAGTCGCTTTTTCTTCCTCTTTTCCCAGTAACAGTTTTGCGATGGACGAAACGTTCTCAATACTTATAAAAAAAAATGAAAAGCCACACACGTCAGTGTTTAAAATAACTTTTTCTTCCTGTTGCAAAGCAATTATTTACAATCAATTCGCTCTTGACCCAGTAATTCATCATCAAGAGCACAGCAATGTCAAGATAGAAAAATCGACGCCCCAGGTAACATCTAATAGCGTCAGCCTTGATTGTAATTATCAGAAAATTGCAGTTAAATAATACAGCGGTGACGTTATGTGCAAATAGCAGTTAAAACAAACAGTAGAATGCATTTGGTTTTTCGACCGAATGAATATTGATGGGCAAGTAGATTGGTCAAGATGTTCGGGCTTGTAAGGCTAATTGCCGTTTTACTGGCCTGGTTTTCGAAGCATCCCTTGAAATTTATCAAACATCCCGACGCAGGTGTTCTCATAGTAAGTGAATTTATTTTTTTTATTCTTTGTTTAACGTTGAATTTAAAAAATATATTTTATCATCAGTAGACTGGATTTCCTTTGTAGTTTTCGATAGTTACATTCTAAGTTCTAAGCTGGAATGGCATTGTCATGATAGAAAAAGAAATTTTCCAATAGAAAGAGACGGCTGGTTTAGGGGTTTGTTGTTTTTCTCTAACAAACAAATACAAATAAGTCCTTTGAATCCACCTAAATTCACAATTTGACAGTTATAAACAAATCATAGGAGGATAAATGTAAAAAAGAAAGAAAGAAAAAAATAAACACCAGAAAAAGCAAGGGTAAATTCAAAAAGGACTAAAAGAAAATAAAACAAAAACCCCAAGCAAAAAAATGAATAAATAAATAAAAAATAATCGGTTCAGCGTCTCCTCTCGTCGTACTAATTTGGAATGGCTGGCATGATAGAAAAAAAAAAATACCAATAGAAAAGACGGCTGATTTAGGGGTTTGTTGTAAAAAAAGAAAGAAAGAAAAAAATAGACACAAGAAGCAAGGGCAATATTCAAAAACGACTAAAAGAAAATAGCAAACAAACAATAAGCAAAAAAGTAAATAAATAATTTAAAAAAATAATAACAAGCGGTTCAGCCTCTCTTAAAGGCATCGTAATTTCAAATTTAATTTCTGCCTCCTTTTTGCTATGGTGAATTTTAACATTTTCGAGAAATTTTGCATAACAGGGGTGTATTACGGTTTATTTATTTTTAGAAAAAAATTATGTAATTTTTATGAAAATAATCTCTATTTTCCATTGTCCAAGATTAATCCTTTGACTCGTGAACAGCCCTTATATAACACATATTTTCTACAAGCTAACAAAAAATATGCGGAAATATTATTGGGAAGTGTACAGGGTGGCTCGTTTATCTCGAAACCTACGGGGGTTGCAAAAAAATAAATAAATGCAAAAGTTGTTTATATCAAAATTATTTGTTATAATCATCACTTTTTTATGTACAGGGTGGTAAAACAAAATTACAATTCTTTAAATAGAACACGCTAAATTTTATTGCATTTTTGAATAGTCTTTTCAAAGACAAATTGAACGATATATATGAGTATTGGGTCTGTAGATGCACCGTTTCGAACTTACTAGGGATCATCTTCAGAATTCTGTTTATTTTTGAATCATCATTGTTGGGTTGCTTATTAACTTTTTGAACTATTTTCCATTTACTATATGTACGAAAATAATGCTTTTCTTTAGGCAAGGACCATATTAAAATATTTTCTTAAAATACGCGGTGTTACCACGTTTCGCAAAATGATACTTTTCTCAATTTTCTTAAATGAGACATACTGTATATTATTGAATTTTCATATATCCAATAATATAACTTGGCTTAATTGGCAGATGAAATTAAAGACTGGGTATAAGATTTAAGTTATTAAGATATGAAACTGGGAATTAGTTCCTTATCAACTTGTTCGCAACCGTTTTGGAGCAGTGTTAAGAGGTCATACGGATGTTAAATTTTGTTTATAAAATATGGATCCTAAAATTCTAGATGTCTAGATTGCGCACCATACTTTCACTGATCTTCGCTCGTGCTTGTTTACTTGAAAAACACATTTTTTATTTTCTGAACTCCAATAATTCGTATTTTTTCTATTAAATAACACCGCAGATATAAATATTGTTTCACCGGTCCAAATTATATTTTGAAATATGTTACCTAAGAAATGCCTATCCATCATTATATTTCAAAATTAGAGTTTTAAGTGAAAATCTGCTTCTTGTAGTTTTTGTATTGGTGTCAATTTAAATGGTTTATAACTGTCAATTTTCAAAAGTGTGGTTCGTTTTACACTTACATCTGAAGCGGCAAGGCGGGTGGAGGTCATCTAGCTGCTAAAACCGATAGGCTCCTACTTTTTTTCACTAAAACACTGCCATTTGTTCGAAATTGCTGGTACATTTTGGCAAATATTTTTTGCCTGGAAATCGCCTATAGGAAAATTCGACTCTATATTTTCTGAGAGCAAGAGTTGGACTTTTGCTATTGGCGATGTAATATTCTAATAGGTCAACTTTTTCCTCATTCGTATACATTATAGACTCAACTAGACTCAACAAAAATGCAACTTAATAAAATAAATAGAAAATAGTGCGAAAAATACGCTTAAAATATTATAAAACACTGATACCTGTCAAAATATCAGTAATATTACTACAACAATTGTATTCAAAGCTGGTGATTATGTCAAAAAGGTCAAAATTAATAATATCAATTTTGAGTTTATCTCTTTCAATTTTCTATATATTTTTTTCCATTTAAGGATCTTATTGACAATATTCTCAAATTATAAATGTATTATTTAAAAATAATTGCCAATTAAGCCAAAACGGTAAGTCAGAGACCCGTACTAGGTTATATACGAGGGCAGCGCAAAAATTTCCCGGCCTGAATATGAAAGAAACAAAGTAGAGTAACCATTTTTTATTATTTTTCAATATAATCCCCCTTAACTTCAATACACTTATTACATCTCTTTATTAACAACTTTGTTTGTCTGCAAAATGAGCTAAAACAGCCTCTTTTAACTCAACTTCGTCGTTAAACTCCGTCCACGTAAGTCCTTTTTCAAATATCCAAACAAATAATAGTCACTGGGGGCCATATCTGGACTATAGTGAGGATGAACTATCTGTTGGTACCCACACTCTAAAATGGCAGCTTGTGCAACTCCAGCAGTATGGACAGGTGCATTATCGTGCAAAAGACGCACGCCTCTGGTCAGTTTTCTTCAACATTTTACACGTATGCACTTTCACAATTTATGTAATAATCTTGCGTAATATTTACCATTGACAGTGGTATTAGTTTCTTTAAAATCTGTCAAAAGAATTCCTTCACAATCCCAAAAGGTCGTGGCCATCACCATTTTTGTTGACTGGCAGACTCTGAATTTTCTTGGAGGTGCTTTACCCTTATGACGCCAGTATTGATTCTTTTTTCGATAGAGGGTCATAATAGAGAACCATAGTTTCATCTCCCGTCACAGTAGCTTCTATCACAGGCTTCGATTCCGACCCACAGCGTTCCAAAAAATACCGTTTTTGTTGTTTTTGAATATCCGAAAGGTTTTTAGGAACCCATCTTGCACTAACCTTATGCATACCTAAATGATCATGCAGGATTCCACGAACACTTATATCAGAAAGCTTAGTAATTTCTGAGATTTCCTTGACCTTTAAACGTCGATTACTCAATACCATCTCTTCCACAATCGCAACAATATCTTCCGTTATGACCTCTACTGGTCGACCAGGTCTTGAATCATCTTCAAGGGACTCCTGCCCCATTCGGAAACGTTTTGCCCATTCTTTCACTACAGAATACGAAGGAGAACTTTGGCCGTACACACCATCCAGCTTTTCTTTAATAATTTTAGGTGCTTACACTTCTTTTGTCAAAAACTTTATGACTGCTCTATACTCAATTTGCGTTATTTGTCACATTTTTTCGGACACGTCTGATTTAAAAACTATTTGACGCAAGGCTTCAATTTTTTTTCGCAGCCCACTAAAATATATATTTAAAAGAAGACAAAGCTTTATCGTGATGCTGGAGCTTCATCCATGTCAGGCCGGGAAATTTTGGGGCTAACCTCGTAATTGAAATTACGTTTAAAGTGGCTATTCAAAAATGCAAGGATATACAGTGTGTCTTATTTAAGTAAACTGAGAAAAGTGTTATTTTGAGAAACGTGGCAACACCGCGTATTTTAAGAAAATATTTTAAAGTTGATCATTGCCTAAAGAAAAGCATTATGATAGATGGATATGGATGGAAATGATGGGATAAAAGTCTAAAAGGCTAACAAGCAACCCAACAATGATGTTTGAAACATAAGTTAATGAATAATGAATAATGAATAATAAGTTTCTTCCTTTCTTTAGAAATATGTGTCAACCAGAGAATAGAGACATCCCATGACTCTTTTCCCCTTCACTATTCGGTCTTTTATTTCCTTTCTTGTTCGTCCACTTAGTTCCCAGGTAGCTGTATTCCTCACATGACATCACATGTATCTTGTTTTATTACAGTTTACTGTCAGCACCCATCTTGTAAATTAATCAAATAGCCTCCTTGTCATAAACTCTAGGTCTTCTTTATTCTGGGCCACTACAACTTGATCATCCGCAAAGTCCATCCATTTTCTTAAGGCTTCATTCAAATAAATCTTGAGCATCCTTGTCCAAGGCCTTTGGAAACTTAAAATTTTTACGATATGTTTATGGATGAGGACTGCATCGTACGACTTTGTTAGATCGACAAACAAAAGGTGAATTTTTAATTTTAATTAACTTCCCATAGACAGGACCCAGTATGCTAGTGACCAAAATACATCGATAGTTGGCACACTCGTCTCGCTTTCCTTTTTTATTGATGGGTGTTATCCAAATACCAATCTTCGTTATTAGTTATTCTGGAAAAGAGCTCTTTAAGGATATAAGCCTTTTTCAGCAGTTCTCTTGGGGTATTTTCTGGTTCAGCTGCTCCTCTGTTTCTCATTGATTTTATGGCACTCCATATTACGTCTAATGTCCTTGTAGGATATAGCGTCTGGGTGAGCTATAGAGATATTCCTGTCTATCCTCTATCCTCTCAATTCGCTGATTGTTGAATTTTGTTCTCAAGGACCAATTAGTTCCCAAATATGGATATCCCCTGGAGGAACACTCACTAACCACAACTGACGGTTACATCTTGGTAATGTACCGGATACCCTACGGCAAAAACCACAACACCACCAACCCCTACCCGGTTCTAATGGTACATGGCGCCATAGGAAACCCAGAATCATTTCTTTCTCCCAGCCCCCACGCGGGTACAGCTTGGTACCTTGCCGACAAAGGCTTCGACGTATGGTTGCTCGGTATTCGAGGCAGTACCAAGTCTAGAAAGCACAGGTCGTTGGATCCGGATAGAGACAGAGCGTTCTGGGAGTTTGGGTGAGTACGTTAGTACTCAGCATGGAACTTGGACCACCAAATTTGTTCCAGCATCCACGAGATCGGAATATACGATCTTACAGCGGCTATCGATTACATTCTGTCCCGAACGAACAAGAATAAATTGTTTTATATCGGGTACTCGCAAGGTACTACCGCGTTCCTCATTATGGCGTCGGTATTGCCGGACTACAATGATAAAATTTCACTTGGGCTCAACATAGCACCGTGTGCCTTTATGAACTATAATCCAAGCACGGTGTTCAGGTTCATAAGTACCCAATGGGAACTGCTTAAGGTAAATAATGTCGCCCCTTAATTTTGTTAACTTTTCAAATTTAGAAAACTTGTTGAACTGAACTTGCTGACGTTTCGCCAATCGTCCTATTGGTTTCTACTCTGTATCCTGCATATACAAGGTGTTTTGTAATTGAATGTGAATGTTTGGGTCCGTTTTAAAAAGAAAACTTCTTAACCCATATTATCCCAAGCATAAAAAAAATAAAAACATGTTTTTTTGCTCTGAAATTATTTATTTTGTTGCACTTAAGAATACATTACATGTGTCAAAAAATAAATCAAAAACTCGAAACATACAAAAAAATACCGGTGCGTAAACGAACCACTGGGAAAAAACATTAAAAAATTTTTTGGGGCACATAAGATGTAACAAATAATTTATATATATTTTACAAAGCATAAAGTATGTAAATGCACATTACACTTATTACAAACGTAAATTGTGTGGTTGTACCAGATTCTACATCTCCTTCGGGCTTTATTAGCACGAACAATCATGAGCTGACCTTGATTATCATAACGCACTTCATCTATGGCAAGTGCAAGATTTCTTTGAGTAATTGTTTCATCAGTTTTTAAAAGTCCCAAAGTAATGTAATGTTTAAAATCAAATCAATCACTTCGTCATCAAAAAATTGAAAAAATATTTCAAGCGGAGTTTTTCTAGAAAGCCTAATTTTTAGTTCCTCCCTCAAATGATCTAAATTCATCGGATATAGGTGTGTGAGTGTACTCAATCTGACCTTTCTTCATTTGACAGTAGAAGCAAGCAAGCCTGTCGTTTGCAGAAAGCATACGTTTTCATTTGAATTCCAGGGTTTCATCATCTGATGAGTCCCATTCAGGTTCAGTAGTTGATGAATTACAGGACTGTTGAAGGACAGCTGTATCATTCGGTGTATGTAACTCGAAAGTTCCAACTATATCAGTTGATTCCTCAAAGTCTTGTAGGATTTATGTTATCGTTCATATCTTCTTCGTAGGTATCCACGTCGGGTGGAATATAGACCGCGTCAATATGTTCTGTAAATATTTTTTCACGTTATTTTTAACATAAATTTACAAGGAATGGAATGTTACAATACATAAGAATACGTAAATCCAAATAATATTTACGACTTTCATTGTTATTGTCCTCATCCATTACGATCTCGTCTATAGCCACCTCTAATTCCTTTTACGAACTGTCATGTTCACTGCACAAGGCATAAACTAATACTAAAGAATACGCCAATTGTTGGATGTTTATTCTACATGCGCTGACTTTTCTAGACTTGCAATAACAAAGTTTGGCTTCACAGAAAAAACCAGTATATATAGTATACTATTTGCAACGTATGTTCTCTGCGATGTAATCTACAAAAATGGCAATACAAATTCAAAATATTTTTTTTTTACTATTTTGGATTTACTGGAAAATGTGTTACAAATTTATATACCGCTTTTGTTAACATTTGAAGTCATATGTAAGATCTTTCCTTTACACATAAATTAGCGATTTCTGCGGTTTTATATCCTTGAGTAGTGATAATCATAAAATTTCTAAATGGATGTGCAAAAATATTTCCTGGATGTGACAAAAAAATCATAGAATAGGTGGTTCATTAACGCACCACTGGGACAAAATGGGTTAAAACACCTTCTCTGTAATAATTTGCACATTAAAGATATTAAGCGTTTCATCAAAAAATGCACTTCGCCACAATCTTCCAATAGCAATGAGGCCGAAACCAATCCTACACTTGCCACTATGGTCCCTCCTTACATTCAAAATATCACTGACCACATATCAAAAGTTCTAAAGAAGTATAACGTCAAAACCAGATTTACCGCTTGTCCAAAAATCTCTCAACATCAACATCTTTGAGATGTCACGTGTTTACAGCATTCCATGCATATGCGGCAAAGAATACATTACAGAGACCGTACGAAAAATATCAACTACTCTCAAAGAACACGAAAGAGCCTTACGACTAAGACAAATAAGCCCATCAGCTGTTGCCGAACACAATCACGAAACCGAACATAAAATGTTATTCTATAAAACTAAAATTCTTTCACGTAATCAATTCTTCTACCAACGAAAAACCCAAGAGTCTATAGAAATATATAAACAACCTAACAATATTAATCGTGACTTATACCTCTGATTTAGCTTCCCCCCCCTCAAACAATATACAAACAGGTACAGAGTAAAATACGCGCCAGTTTCAGTCAAGCTCTGAAGAAGCCAACAGGATGATTGGCGAAACGTTAGCAAGTATCGAGTTTTTAGTTACCAACTAGTGTCCTTCAGAAAAAAATATATATTAGAAGACTAGAAGAAGAGTCTCTGCAATTTGCTAAGTCGTGACTAAAATTTTGTTATAGCATATTTTGGATACACTCGGGTTACATGAAATTCCTTCATTGTCAGCGGCCAACTTCATAAAGGATACCATGGGACTGCTGTGTTCTGAACAAACGATATTCAAAGACTTATGTTTCATTATAATTTATACCGGAGGTGAAGATACAGGACAAATTAACAGCGTAAGCGAATTAAACTGAACAAGACAATACAAATTGAAAATAACCTGTAAGAAATCAGGTAAACTTTAATTGTTATTTGTTTATAAACTTTGTCGGCTCAAACGAGTAGATTGAGGGGTTCAAAACATTAATGAAGTTAACGAGTTGCGAAGAGGGTGTTACTTTATTAGCTATATTCTAATTCATGTCTTGTACAAGTCAAAAAGCAAGGTAAATAACATAAATATATAAACAGTGTATTAAGTACAGCACAATTTTACAAAATGTATACATCATTTAAAGTATTAGTTGTGTTGCTTGTACACAATTCGAAAAGTATTTTTGAAATTCAATTTTCTCTTAAAAACCAGTAGACTGATGATCTCTCTAGAGACAGTTTTACTGCTCTGTAAGCAAGAGAGTTGAAAACCAATGATTTTAGGGTCTGATGGTGATGTGAAATGACCCAGAATGACTCAATGTTAAGTCTGATTTTGTATTGATAAGAATCTTAAAGATTATTATTAATTTCTAATTCAGTGGTGAAACATATATCAGGCTGTATAGGGTTTAAATGCCTAAGAAAATATCGGAGGAATTCTTGACTATAAGGTCAACAAAAGTATCATCATAATGTTGGTTTTAGATGGAAGATGTCGAGAGTTTTCTTCTCAAAGTCTTCCATAAATATATTCGCTATGACAATATGACGGAACTTCCAGTAAAATCTGAAAAGCGTGTACCCCAGTGGTTGCAGAGGCTATTTATATTTTTTTGAGAAAATCTTTGGACTCTGCCAGACTCTTTCAAATTCAAGTTTCTTTGAAGAATTGGTTTGAATCTCTGCTACCACCATCATATAATCAATCGGTTTATGTTGTTCCAAGTTTTTCCATAAATATTTTTTAAATGTTTTTTTTTAATTCTCTTTTGCGAGAAAAAAGCACAAAGACTATCAGTAGTTTCACCATAGGACCTCATGTGGTAGCTTATACCAGAATAACATAATGAATACGCATTGAAATGATCGAGTTGCTATTCAGAATGACTCACAAAAACTTTACAGACTTTCTTCGTAAGGAAATCTGTTGTTTATAGATAGTTTTAAACGTATTTAACATCAAACCATGTCTATGATGACGCTTAATGCCAATAAAATACGCCCCCACTAGTAATACGTACCGACAATTGGTTTATAAACAAGAGGAGCAAGAGTGGTCCCAGAGTATTGCGTTGGTGCACTCCAGTGTCGACGTGATAGTTCAGTAAATTATGAATTTGTATTATATAGTGTTCTGGTAACGTTGGGTGATCGTTCTTATGAGTATAAATAATTTTTTTTTAAACTCTCCACTTTTGGAATTTTTGTTTCGCAATACAAATAAAATTTAGAGTGTTTAATGCTTCCCTGACCTAGAGGCTGACACACTGACGTGTGGGGAGCAAAAAGAATAACTTTTATATTGGCAGCATGACCTTACAAGAATGGAATGCATTGCCAAACAAATTTCCATAATGTCTTGCGTCATTCACGCTTTCTTGTTATCTTTAATTTTGAGTACTTTACCGCCTTTCCACTGTAGAAGAAATAGTCAAAAAACGTTTGACATGATTAATTTGAAATGTTTAGTTGACTCCGCAATTGCTGTTCACCCAAATACCGTCGACCACGTCCCAGCGACCATTCCTCCATTTTTTGCAGCTAATGAAGTCCGGTAAGGGGTAAGCTTTATGCACGTTAAATGTCCTTCAGTATTTTTTTGCAGAGGAATTCTTGTATTACGATTTTGGAAGGGAAGAAAATTTAAAAAGGTACGGCCGGAGCAAACCACCGGTATATAAACTCGAAGATATTCGGATTCCGACAGCTTACGTCTATTCGGAGCATGATACGTTTTGCGACGCAAAGGTATACCTCATCAGTTATTTTTAGATTTTTTTTTCGACATACATCATAGACTTTTCGTTGGATAACATTTTAATTGGCTGTAACTTTTTTGTTTTTAGAGATATCAAGGTAAACAAAAAAACAAAATGTAGGGTTAGTGGCCAAGTGACGTATCCTGTGTATTATATATGTGTTTAATAGAATATCTTACATTACAATGATGTAACACACTTTATATTTTAGTTCACTTGTCTTTGACAAATCGGCAAAATAGGAAATTTTTATATAATTTCTTAGACAGCTGTGACTGACTGCACCAACAACAATTATTTACAAAGTAAAGTAGAACAAAAACGCTCAAAATGAAAAGACACACTAAAGTAAAAAATTCTTTAACTATTCTAAATATTGCTGTATGTGACCACCATTTTCCTGAACACATTTCTCATACACTTTAATTGTATAATGTCTTGCATTAAGTACAAAGTAAAGTTGTTGTTTTTTATCCATTTGCTGAACTTATTGGATTTTATTGATATGTTCAGAACATAATAGAGCAAAAACCATACAAGTTTTCTACAAAAAGTTTTTGTCAATCGACCGACCTTAATCCATTCTATACCTGGGTGTCAACAGCTTTTGATTGCTTACCTTAAAAAATAGGAAACAAATCGTTAGGGTGACGTCTCTGAACCACAATGGTCATTAACGACTCACCTGCCAATTCAGATTACGTATAGTTTCTTTATGTGATAGGAGTACTCAATCGATGGGTGAAGCAGAAGAGTGATCAAATAATTTTAAATTAAATGAAAATAAATCATCTAACTCAAACCAAATGTTCTTACTATTTTTTCCAAACTTTTTTCTGAGAAATTTTGACTTGAGTGCCTTTCTTTTCTCAGAAACTCTGGCTTAACTCATAATTTCTGACATTTTTCTCAGAACTTCTGAGAAAGGCTGACCTTTTTCTTAAAAATGTTCATGTTTTTCTCAGAAATTCTGACTCAAGTCAGAAATTCTGCCTTTTTCTCTTAGAATTTTTAAGCTAAGTCAAAAATTCTGGCTCTTTCTGTCTTGAAATTCTGTCTTGAGTCAGAAATTCTATCTATATTTCTCAAAATTTCGGACTTGAGTCATAGATTCTGACCTTTTTCTCTGAAATTATGACTTCTAAGTCAGAAAGCCTGACCTTTTTCTTAAAAATGTTCATGTTTTTCCCAGATATTCTGACTCAAGTCAGAAATTCTACCTTTTTCTCTTAGAATTTTTAACTTAAGTCAAAAATTCTGGCTCTTTCTGTCTTGAAATTCTGTCTTGAGCCAGAAATTCTATCTATATCTCTCAAAATTTTGGACTTGAGTCATAGATTCTGACCTTTTTCTCTGAAATTATGACTTGTAAGTCAGAAAGCCTCACCTTTTTCTAAAAAATGTTCATCTTTTTCCCAGAAATTCTGACTGAAGTCAGCAATTCTGCCTTTTTCTCTTAGAATTTTTAACTTAAGTCAAAAATTCTGGTTCTTTCTGTCTTGAAATTCTGTCTTGAGTCAGAAATTCAATCTATTTCTCTCAGAATTTTGGACTTGAGTCATAAATTCTGACCTTTTTCTCAAAAATTCTGACTTGTTCCGAATGATAAATGACGATCTATAACTGACATGTCAACTTACGTTTCAGGGAGCAAGAAAAATAATAGAAAGGACTAGTAGCAAGCACGTGCATAGAATCCAAGTGCCATTTGGTCATGTGGATTTCATTATGTCCGACAACTTGATCCAGCAAGTCGGGGAACCCATTTACAATTTTTTAATAAATTATACCGCTGATATAAAGTAAAATACGAAAAAATAAAAAAAAATTATTGTCGCGACCTCTTTATGAATTATTTGAATTTGATTTTGAATTTTTATGAATGAACAACTAGTCAGAAAAAAAATCTATGTAAAAAATTAAATCTGGAAGTTATTTATTTCTAGCGGTGGGCCAAGACACTAAATAGGATGTAAAAAATAAACTGAAAACTGCCTTCTTACTAATTGAATGTCTCCAAATGTCAAAATGAAAATCAAACTTTGTAGAGACCTGAGACAAACTAATTAAAATTATTTAAATTTAATTAACCAAAAACAAAGTATCATCAGCTACTTTACGAGTATATAAATGTAAAATTTATGTAATACTGCAGATTAGACTACCACCAGTACAAGACAATGAATTTTGAACAGTGTGAATTACTGCCAGAGAGCAGCTTGACGGAATGTGTTAATCGTTTAGTTGAAGTAGAAAATAATCTCTAATGTGATTGTGATGGCAAGTTATTCATATACAGTCGAATCTCTATATAGCAAAATTGAAGGGACCGCTTTTTTTCGCTATAGAGAGTTATAGGCACTTGAAAAGTCACAATAAGCATATGTGTTCTGTCGTATTTAATTATTTTATATACATATTTTAACATCTACTTAGGAACTCCTCACTTGTAAACGTAATCGTTATTTGAAACTGCTTCATCCACTCGCTTAGTGCCCGATCATATTTCAAGTCCTGTTCGCATTCTGTCTCGGTAATAAGTCCTGCATGACGATAGTGTTGAATTGTTTCTACTGTCACCTCTTTCCAAGCTTTACTAATAAAATTGACTACATCTAGCATATTAATGGAAAATTTGCCTTCGGACTCGATGATTTCCATTAAAATATTTTTCCTGTATCGGCTCTTAAGACTTTTCATTACGCTCTGGTCCATCGGCTGTAATACACTTGTTGTTTTGGCTGGAAGAAATGCCAATTCAATATTTCGTAGATTTAGAATATGGGGATGTGCAAGGCAGTTATCTAAGAGAAGTAATATTTTACTCCCCTTTAATTCTGCATCCTATTTCCGTATCTCCTCTTCACAAATTTGCTGTCATCCATGCAGACTTGTTGGCCTTGCAAATGCTTGATGTTCTTAAAACATCCTGGGATAGTTGATTTTCCAATCACGACTAGCTTACTTTTTTCTCTCCCACTTATATTGGCAGCTACTAACACTGTTATACGTTCTTTATATCTCCCGTCATTTTGTAAAAAATACCAGTTTCGGCAGCATTAAAAATGTAGTCAGCGGGGTACTTTTCTGCTAGTTTTTCCCGCGTCTTCTCCAGCCAATCGTTAGTGACGTTTCTGTCGACATCACGGGCTTCGCCACTTATCTGTCCATAATCTATACCATGTCTCTGTTTGAACTTCCTCAACCATCCTTCCGAAGCCTTGAAATCAATAATGCCCAGCTGTTCAGCAAACTTTTCTGCATTTAGTAGACGTTGCTGTTGAAACCATTGCAACATTGCCCGATCCAAATCTTCATATTTTGGATTTCTTAGTTTTTTACTAGAACTGCCTGCCGCTTCAGCCTGAAGGATTTTTTCTTTGCACTTTCAAATCGGGTATACAGTCAACGGTGTAAGTCCGTATCGACGTCCCACATCACTTTTCTTTTCTCCTGTTCTATCTCGCCGTATTCACTAAGTCAAATAAGAAATGATTGAAACAATGGTGTGCTTTTATACAAGCCATTATAATGGCATTAACAAAATCGCTTATTACGAGAAAAACACTTGGGACGACCAGGTTCTCGGTAAGTAGATTATTAGGGTAAGGAATTCTGAGAAGGTATGGTCTGTTCATAGATATAAGAAAGTGACCGATTAATTTTGAATGGGATGATCCAAGGCTCGGAATTTAAATTCAGGTAAAATTGTGGTCCATAATAGAAAATAGTTTTATACGTACCTGTGTCTATTATCCTTTGGTTTGGTACACTACTTAGTTTAAGTTTATTAGTAATCATTCTTATTTCGTGTATAATACAGCGTGTATTGAATCGTGTGCGAATTATGCAAATATGTGCGAGTCTAGTGTATCTCAGGAGATGCTCCAGCTCAACTGTAGAAAACACTATTCTATTGAGACTAAGGAAGTTACAAACAGTGCTTATTTGACTCTCATTGTACGTGGTGCCAGCCAGCAACCATCTTTAGAAGAAACGCCCACATTGACGAAAATTCCAACATCTACTAAATGTAAAATTGTGAATAATCCCATTTCAGCGAGGAAAAAAGGAAGCGATGCTGACATTTTCTCGAGTGTAGATGAAAGTGATGAAGATATAATACGGCGTAAAATTTACCAGTTATACGAGAAACAAATCGTACCTACATTAGATATCTTAATTAGGAGGCTTGAAAAAGATGAAACCGGTGTTAAATGTGGCAGAACTACCTTATGGAAGTGTATTCAGCACATGGGTTTTAGATTTAAAAAAAAATGACAAAAGGCAAGTTTTAATGGAATCTTTTAGAATTCGGAAATGGCGACTAGAATATCTAGAAAAAATTAGGATTTACAGAGAACAACAAAGACCAATTATTTGATTTATTGGAAAGTTGGTTTAAAAGCAAACTAGTTCCGAACATTCCTCCTAATAGCGTCATTGTAATGGACAATGCGGGTTATCATAGTAGACAGTTGACTAAAACCCTTCCTCATGTGACACAAAAGCAACGATCCAAAACTACACGTATAATAACGACATTTATTTTCACGAAGATTATACCAAAAAGCAGTCAATTGAGGTTCTACAAAGCTTGAACCTGCAAAAGGAATACGTCTATGATAATTATGCAAAAAATCTAGGGCATACATAATTAGAACAGGCGATGATGGCGATAGTGATAGTGATATATTATGTGAATAATTTTAAGTAATTTTAAGTAAGTAATAAAAATAATTTGTAATTTTATTTTAGATTTAAACATAAATAAATATTGTTTAGTATCTTTCCTAACAAAACCCCAAATAATTAAATTCTAAGCAAAGTACCGACCTGTTCGGCCATATTTCATTCTTACTGGGCCTTTCCTTAATTCGTATCAGTTAGTCACTTTCTTATATCTATGAACAGACTTTCAGAGACATTCCTTACTTTCTTACCTGATGTGCCATTTTTTTCTTCGGTATAGAGAGAAATTCGTTATACAGAGTTTAATCCACTCTACATAGCTTTGTATGGAGACCTAATAGTACAACAAATTTTGTTCGTAATACAGAGTCTCGCTATAGGGAGTTTTCACTGTACTTTGTCTTTCCACTTCCTTACTACTATCCTCGTCATTGGCCCAAAAATAGCATTACAAGAATAAACAAACCACATATTCGGTTTAATTCCTTCTCCTCGCTGTATAAAATGGCGGGTCGTTTAAAACAATAGGGCGACAAAATGAAGGATGTGCCGCGATATTCGAAACGCACAGGAAACAGCGGTCCGATTCGATTTTCGCCGCTTCTCGCGGCACTTCGCGTCAAAAAACGTCAGGCCCACTATTCCGCGACTCGGAATGATTTGAAAGCGCGGCATTTCCGCGTTTCTTTTCTTTTTTTCTCGCCTCGCACTTTCGCGACTTCTCCGCCCAGTAATTACAATATTTTAATGAGCAAAGTGCACCGATGCAATGCCTATTTATTTCCAGACCCCGTCGGTATATATATAACGATTAAAACTGCTATTATTTTTGAGTTTTTGCCGTTCGCTTTTAGACGCTGCCCGGTTTATTATGTTTAAATGGTTTCCATTTTAATGATCTTGTCGGGGTGGCAGCCGAAAGGCATTGAACGCCGACATTTTTGTTTTTCAGAACGATATTATTTTTCAAAAATATTTATTACTATTACAGTCGATGAAATAGAATTTTTATGTTTCGAGAGTAGACGCGTTAGCAAATTTTTTTCGAGATCTCGGTAACAGTAGGTCCTACAGGACCACCGTTGGTACAGATCGAATCAGCGTCGAAAAAAAGTTGAACTGAGGTGGCTTTTACTTGATGAAAATCCATTTATCAAAATAAATAAGAACTGAAAGTTCAGATTTTCACGAAATTATATATTATGACATGACAATTGTTTCGACAACACCGTGTCTTTATCAAAGATAAATGATAAATGATAAAGACACGGTGTTGTCCAAACAATTGTCATGTCATAATATATAATTTCGTGAAAATCTGAACTTTCAGTTCTTATTTATTTTGTCGAAAAAAAGACTTTTTTATTCTTTTTTTCTGTTTCTCTGTGTCGCGGGTTTTAATTCAATAACTCATGAGCCCTTTGAACTAGGTGGCTCAATTTTTGCTCCTTTTTTACAGACGCACAATATATTTTAAAATGGCGATAATGGCACAATGGCGGCCTTCTTTTTTTTCGATTTTCGTCAGTTTTTTGGACATTGCTATGAAACACGATAAGTGTCCGAAATTTTAAGTAATCGACTTCATATTGGGCACACATATGTAGCTTTGCCCCATGATGGAACCTATTGAATTGGGGGGCGGTGGCAGTCGGCAAGGGTCTACAAAAAAGATCATTTTTCGACAACAGTTTACGAGACCAAAAAAATTCTTGAACCAGAAGATGCAGAAGATACGACTCTGTAAACTGTATTACTGAAAATTTTTCAGAAATTTACAGGGTCGCCGCAAATTCAGAAAAATCCTATTATTGAAAACTGGCTATAACTGAAAGACTGTACTTCGGATGTTTCTTTTATTTGACGATATTGTATTTAAGGTTTTCGCCTGTTGTACGGACTTGAAGCCTACCACCCAGCTAAATTTGAAGTGAAATATTGATTTCTCTTTCATAACCCAGTTCCGAAACTTTTTTCAAATACGCAACCCTTTCTGCCATTTTCCGTTAAAAATCATAACGTTGTCTCTGAGAATTCTTCCATTATTTCGTTCCATTTCGTCGGAGAAACCGCACGTATATCGCTTGTGCCCCTAACTCAACAATGACAAAATAAATTGGATTAAGGCCACGCTATCCAGTCGATTTT